ATAAAAAAATAATTTTTGCCCAAAGTATTTGGGCAATTTTGGCTACTAATAGAAGCAGTTTCAACCAGAAACCTTATGTGTTACACAAGTTGAATTTTCTATTTTATATATGTAATTACACTTACTGTGACATATCATTTGACTGATAATAGAATAATTTATAAAAAATCGTCAGAGCACTTGCATGGGAGGAAAATACTCAGACCCCAAGCCATTGTGAGTATTACCTATTTTTTGGACACTGACAAAAATCTAATTTTCACTATTACTACTGCTATTATTATTATTATCATCAATAATATCATTGTTAATATTCATATCTTTGTTGTTTTCATTATCTTTTTCATCTTCACTCTTTATCTCTCCTTTTCAACCCATTGTCGAATTTCTTCTATTATTTTTCTTCTAGGATTTGTTTTTTGTTGGAGAAGTTTTTTATTGTGGAAGCAACAACATCTTTCCCCCCTGCAAGTAATTCACAAATTTCAATGGCCATTTCACTGAATGAAAAATTTGGATTTAGTTCAATTCTTTTATCAAATAATTGTTTGAAATCCTTCCATAGATTTTGATCACTTGTGAATATTTTTTATCACCAATAAGTTTGTTTGTTTTATCTTTAAATTGGCCTTTCCTTGGTTCTATTTTATCATTATTTGATCAATTTTTGATTTACAGTATTTTATATGCTTTATAGTGAAGTAAGGAAACAAGAAAGAGTCCAATTAACAACCTGCAAGCAAGTTCACAGTTGAAAGTAAGCATTTTTTTAAATGTTATTATGGATGAAAATATTGTGTAAATATTTATTGATTATTTGTTTGTTTTTTAAACCAAAATGAAATTGCGTTTAATGGTGATTATTAGAGGGATTTGTTATTTATCTGAAAATAAGTGAACTGGTGATGTTTTATAATGTTCTAACATAAGGCGGGATTATTTACCTTGTTTCAATGTCAATGAGAAAAAAACAAACATTTATAAACATATTCTTGAATGTAAAATTCATTCAACGATTTTTCATTGATAATCAATGTCAATATAATGATCATTAATTACATTTGCATAAAGGAGAGTTTTCTTTGTAGTAATAGTCAGTAAAGAAAAAATAGATCAATATTGTAGTAATAATAAGATTATTTTTCTTTCAAAGGTTTCTGCTTTTTGTTGGGTAATAGTATATCTTCATTCTGCTTTCTTTTCTTAATATTTATTAATTTTCTTTCCTCTTGGTAAATTTCATAGGTAATTTTTTCTTTCCTTAGATAAGCTTCAAGTGTCTGAGTATCATTTATTTTGAAAATGTAAGGAGCAATTTTTTCCACCTTGATCTTTCTTCAGAATACTTCTAATGGTACTATAATTCTTGGGTTCCATGGTAAATTAGCTTCATATTAACCATTTTTATCTAGACAAATACACAGGCAATACAATTGTGATGTTAAATAAACACTATTGATCCCTGAAATCATTGGTAACACCAACGTTCACTTTGGTTTTGTTGCAGTCTGCCCCATATAAGGTATAATTTTCAAACAGGCCATTATTATAGAAATTTAATAAAGAAATCCATTATAGAGCAAGATTTTTAAATAGTAAAAATCAGGCTTCAATTCTCAGTTCGTTATAGAGTGAAGGCTGTTACAGAAAAGGCAGTCATTGAGTGAGTTAATTACAGCCATACAACTCTCTATAATATTACTACATATAATAAATACAGGCTAGAACCTTGTCCCAATTTTTTACTACTTGAAATCGCTTTTTATAACAGATATTATTAATTAAATTTTGTATAACGTATACCAGAGTGCATCTGAAAACCATAACGGATTCACGTGATCTAAAAATAAAACTCAAAATAAAAATCTTAATAAATAAATAATAATAAAGTAGAAAAAAAATGTATGAATTTCTTGATTTAAATCCACATAATTCAAGTTATAAATTAATTTATTTTTAAAATGTTGAAAATTTGATTTAAATTAAATGGTTTTTTTAATATTGAATAATAGTATTTTTTTTTTATGTAAAAAAAAGTAACATTTTTGTTTCGTATTAACATTGCACGTGACTTCATACATGCCAATTTTCAACGAATGTTTATTTGGGTAATTATGGAGAAGATTGAATTTGAATTTTGTCCATATTAATATTGATTTTATGTATTTGATATCAGTTGATCAACGAATCTATCTATATAAATTATTATTATGGTTAAGACAAATCGTCAATCATTACATGAGAGTAGTTCATAACCTATATTTTGAAATTAGGTGACGATTCTGATTTTTTGATTACTAAGAAGTTTTGCTATGCTTGATTATCAACAATTTTTAAGATAAATGAAAATGGAAAAATCTAAGCACTACAAGTGATAGGACTTTTTATTTTTTATGGGTACTAGAGGGTCTAGCACCAAATCATTGTAGATCATTGTATGACATAATGATTTCCTGACAAATGCACATATATAGTAATTTGTTTAATTATGTACAATAACAAAAAACAAGAGAATTTCAAAAATTCCTTTTTTTTTTAAAAATAATAATAAAGGAAGTGCAGTTTTTTGCAACATAATGTTTACTTTGTTACTGACTGACCTAACTTAACCTTTCATTCCTTCTTTACTTCCAAAATTATATCTAAACCATTGTTGCACATTTGTTACATTAACTTTCCTTGTTTTTCAATAAAGAATTGACTTATTTAATTTCTTTGTTCTTTCAAAACTTGAAATTTGTCAAAGTTTCCCAGAAAAATTAAAACTTCTACCTATATTTATTTAAATTTTCCTTTTTCCCCTTTGATGTAAATTTTTGTACAACAATAATTTGAAACAATTTCGATAATATTAAATAATAATATATTACTTATTATTGTTGTCTTCTATAAATAAAATTCTATAAATACTTTCATTTTATGCATTTTTCTTATTCACCTTTTTTTCCTTTTCGCTCCTCCCTTTTTAACTACAATATATTAATACCGTTTTTGCAATTTTTAACAAAAAAAAAAAATCTTCTTCACCAGATTCACCAGATTCACCAGATTATTTACTATCACAGGCTTACATAGTTAAATAAATAAGAAACAAATAAATAAAAATGTCGTCTTCGCTAACGACTACACGACGCCGTTCTACATCATCAATCATTATAGTTGATTCTGGTGAAGAAGATTTAACAAAATCTCTTTTAGCTCCTAAAACTCCTAATATCATTTCAAAACGCCGTGGATCGGTCGTTTCTATTAATTCGCCAACTTCTACAACATTTTCAATTAAAACGAAAACTGCCACCACTAAAATTGCCGCCAAACCAACGGAAATCACAATAATCGATGGTAACAATAGTGATAAAGATGATCCTGCTGAAGATGTCTTTCATGATGATTTAATTTTCAACAATCAATTTCATGCTTCTAAATCAAGAAATTTAAATCACTCACGTTCATTATCTCAACCAATCAGAGCTTTATCTACTTTAAAGTCTTCAAAATCTATGAAGATTAATAACAATGATAATTATTTAATATCACCCACCACCATTAATTATGATACTCATTCAACATATAAAATGCGTACAAAATTAACATCTCAAAAACTATCAAATTTCTTTGGTACAAAACCTCCAATTGATATTTGCGTAAAAGAAATAGAAAAAGAAGGACTAAAAGCTATCCTGAATTCTAAAATACCTCTGTGTTACTTCTTATATTCGCTATTAGAGGAATATTCTTCTGAAAATCTATTTTTTTTCCTAGAGGTTGAACATTACGAGTCAAGAGTATTTGATAATTCTACTCAACAATTAGTCATTGCTCAACAGATTTTTGATACTTATCTAACTAGAAAGTCTCAATTTGAAGTTAATGTGGATGATAAAGTACGCAAATCAATAATCGCAACCATTAAATCAGAACGTGACTTGCATTATTGTTTTCGTGATGCTAAACATGCTGTATTTGCATTATTGGAGTGTAGCTTCTCCAGATTTATCAGAAGCTGTTTGACTGATGTCATGAAAAAGGAAATTGGTCAACATACCGCACATTATTCTCGTGAAGCTTATGAAACTGCTGTCAGTTGGTTATTTAAGTATCTAGAAAAACTTGGTCCCATCAAAGTCACTGATTATATTAATCACCATCAAAATAATTTTATTAATAATAATCATCATCATCATAATGTTTCATCTGCAAATCATCTTTTACAAAAATTTTTAAAATCCATCAATAATAACATTAATAATAATGATAGTGATCCTAATAATAGTGGTGATATTGGTAATACCGATTTTAATCATTTGACAAATCTCTCAAAATTTCAACCTTTGCCATCCCCCAACTCTTCAGTATCAAAAAAGAGAAATGAAATGATAAAAAATATGACATTGGAGTTTATCACAAATTTATTGGAAATAGATATTAGTGAATTATATTACTATGAGTTAATTCATAAAGCAAATAAAAATAACGGCAATAATAATTATGATAATAATAATGATGACGATTATTTTTATAATAACAATAGCATCGACGACAATAACGATGTTAATATTAGTGACAACGATAACAACAACATTAATAATAATAATAGTAATAATAATAATAATATGATTTTACAGGATTTAGAAGACTTAGATATGATAGACAGTAGTATAAGTAGTGATAGTACTGTCAGCAGTACAAACAGTAATGAGGAATTTAAAAGTTTAAATCAAATGAGTAATTATGAAGGTTGGGATATAGACAATAATGATGGTAATAACTCTGGTGGTGATTCAAGTAATCCAAGTGGAAAAAAACGCGAATTAAAATATAGAAAAAGTGTAAAAGACTTGAAAAATCCATTCAAAAAAACTCAGAGATCCAAGAAATGATTATTGTATGTGTGTGTGTATATATATATCTATGTATAAAGTGTACATATATATGTTTGTAAGGCATCAAGCTCTCGTTCATCTGGATTATTCAATTGACTGTTGGAAATAAAATATCTTCCCTTTGTTGTTGTTGTTCTTATGAAAGGGGGAAAAAACAAAGTGATGCTTAATGCTAATATCAATAATTGGAAATATGAACAATTGAAAATATTTTATAGAATTTTTTTATTATTAATTTTCCTCAAATAGAATTCTCACATAATATAAATAAAATTAAAAATATCATTATATTATATTGTATACATAGTACGTTTGTCACATTTTTACATCTTATATATTTACACGTTAACCTCATATCATAACCTTATATATTATAAATATACACTATACATTATCCTCCTCATACCGTAATCTTCTTCGTAATCTTCTCCGTCATCATTTTTTCTTTTGTATTTATTATTTAAATATACCATTCCTTCATTTTATATATTCAATCAATTCATTCATTTTGTAATAATAATAACAAAAAGTTTCGTTAAAATTGCAAATCACAAATTGTTTAACGTACTACCAATATAAATATTAATATAAGAGAATAGATAACATGAATATTTTTATCATAATAGTTGTTACTTTTTGAAGAAAAAAAGGTAAATATGTTCTTCAGCAATATTAATATTTTGCTGTCGCTCTTTTGGATGGTGAATCTGTTACCGGTGTTTCATTCGAAGGAGTATAATTCTGAACATTTCGTGATATTTTTTGCAATTTTAAACAGTAGTAGTAGTCCATTACTCGACTCTGTGGTAAAAGATTAAGCCAGAGTTAAAAGATATTTTGGAAAGCGCTTTAGGCAAAATAGCTAAATTGATACCTTAAAAAAATACACCTTTTCCATAATTTCGGCCAATACATATGCTTGACCAACATTGTCTGGGATTATGAAACTTGTGAAAATGTCAACAATATACAATCCTCCCTTGAAATGCATTGTATAAATTGTTGTTTCGCGCTCTAAAGTGAATGATTAATTATTAGAACCAGTCAGTCGGCAACAAATACAATACGATGTCTTACATACGATATACAAGCATTCCATAACCCTGAATGCATTTAAGCTGTTCTTCCGTTGCATTGCGTTGCAGATGATACTGTCTTTGGTAGAAGATTGATATTTGCATTGCTACAAAAATAAATAAAACAACTAAATTTACAAGTTTTACAATGTAAAGACCTCAAAAATAAGAAAGCAGACCTTTAAGTAACTTATCCATGTCATCATGATATTTAGTCACATCCACCAATAATGCATTCCCCACGACCTCCAAAAATCCCACTTCTATTTCTTTAGCGTTCATGCAGATCTTGAGGATTCCGTCATGGTTCGTCCCGACGTTGACACGTGGCTATCGCCCTTTAGTCTCCTCTCCACTACATCAGGAAATTTTCCCTGCCGCAATATTACATCCATAAATTTTAATATCGATGTAATAATTGCATAATTTTTGTATGCTTATTTGCATAATATTACGGGCCCGCCGTAAACTTATGTAAATCTGCATCAGAAAAATTTCCTGATGCTAATCAATGATAAAACATAACATAATACATTAGAGACTATATACAATCTAATGAATAAATATTTTTCAACAACATGCATTTTAAATCTGATATTAGCGCTCACATCGTCGAATGCTTTAGGGATGAAAATGACTCTCTATATGCAAATTCAGTTGCATCCGGATCAAGAAGTATATTGAATGGCATGGCAAATAGGAGTACACTAAATAAAATGAAGATGTGTTAGTGACTATAAATAATATGATTACGTGATCAAATATTATTTATTCATTAATTCTTTGCCTACA